AAGGGTGTTTTTTCATGTCCTCTATGCTCTAACTATGAAAATATTTGATTTACAAATAAGGAATCCTACTTCGCAGAATTTCATTTATCACAGTAGGGTCTAGAACCGATTAACCGCGATAAACGAGGGTTCACTGTATATCTTTTGACCTCTTGACTGCTACTTCCATGAACATTGATTGTAGATCCAAGTAAGACAAAATCCTTAACAACTTCAATCCTTTTCTCCATTTATCATGATGTTACCTATTGGTCCAGTTGTGAGGACTGGGGTCTTCCTTACATTGCTCTGTAATCCCTACCAAAGGCCACAATCCTTGACCTTCATCAGCAAGTGCTTCAATTCCTTCTCACTTTCAGCAAGCAAGACTGTGTCATCTGCATATCACACATTGTAAATAAACCTTCCTTCAATCCTGATGCCACACTGTTCTTCAAGTAATCCAACTTCTCGGATGATTTGCTCAGCATGTAGATTGAACAAGTATGGTGAGAGGATACAACCCTGATGCACACCTTTCCTGATTTTCAACCCATGCAGTGCATCCCTGTTTGTTCACACCACTGCCTCCTGAACCATGTACACGCACTGAATGAGCACAATGAAGTGTCCTGGGATTCCCATTTGTCTCAAAGTCATCCACAATTTATTATGGTCCACACGGTCTAATGTCTTTACATAGTCATAGAAACACAAGTAAAATCTCTCTGGTGTTCTCTGCTTTGTGCCAAGATTCATCTGACATCAGCAATGATATCCCTTGTTCCATGTCCTCTTCTGAATCTGGCCTGAACTCTGTCAGTTCCCTGTCAATGTCCTGTTGCAACCACTCTTGGATGATCTTAAGTAAAATTTTACTTGTGTGAGATAGCCATGACATCATTCTATAATTTGAGCGTTTCACCTTTCTTTGGAATGGGCACAAATATGGATGTCTTCCAGTCATTTGGCCAAAAAGCTATCTTCCAAATTTTCTGCCATAGACAAGTGAGTGCTTCTTCGGCTTTCTGAAACATTTCAATGAGTGTTCTTTCCACTCCTGGAGCCTTGTGTTTGGCTAGTGCATTCAGTGCAGCTTACGCTTCTTCCTTCAGCACCACTGGTTCTTGCTCCTATGCTACCTCCTGAAATGATGTGATGGAGACTAGTTCTTTTCCATGTAGTGACTGTGTATTCTTCCACCTTCTCTTGATGCCTCTTGCATCATTCAATATTTTGCCTATGGAACCTTTCAAACAGAACTGGATTTGGCTATTTAGAAACAACAATCCTTCACTTCCATTATAGTGAAATCATCAGCATAGTTTAGCAAAGATTTTCCATGGATCTACTATATGTAGAAGGAGCTCTGTTTTCTGTGTGGGTTATAGACACTGGTCTGCTAACCAGAAGGCCACTGGTTAAAACCCAGCTGCCTCTCCTCAGAAGAAAGAGAAGCTTGCTTGCCCTTTAACGATTTGTAGTCGCAGAAACCCTACGAAGGGTCTTTCCTCGTTGACATGGACTTGGCAGGGGGATGATTGTAACCATGCTTTCAGTTGTCATCAAGTTGATTCCAATTCATGGTGGCCCATGTGTTAAAGAGTGACACAACAACAGAAATCACATGTACTAGGCCTATTGTATCACACAAGTGGATCTCTGGACAAAGAATAGAGAATACTCAAAGGACAATAATTGGTCTGCAGTTGCCAGACACACTTTCTCACTTCCGATAGTGCCAGCAATTTGCTAAGTTGACCTTCCTTGGGTGAACCAGCCCTTTCCCATTCTGGGTTCACGGAATTGGGTTAGGCCCCCGCCAGCACACACAAAGTCTTACGTCACTCGGGGGATTCAACTTCTTGGACTACAATGATTGCTGAACTTAGGTCAATAAAAGGCAGATGAAAATTTTTTGTCAAAAACCTAGGGAGAGATGGCCACTTGTACTCTACACATCTGTATTTCAATAATGCACATTAAAACCTTCCGTAGAAAGGAATCTCTGACAGATGGGTTGCTATATCGGTTTAGTGATAGGTGGTGGCCCTGCTCCCTGACTGTCTGATGAGTCCCTCTACATTGGTCCTCACCGGACCGTGCTTTGCTTACTGGTGTTTCCATCTCCTCCCCAAGATAGTTAGCTCTCTCAGGAAAGAAGACACATCTCCAATAGGCTTGGTCCGGACACAGAAAGGGGCCTGTATGCACATCTGCTAAGGAAATCATTCTGACAGACTTCAAGCAAACAACCCTACAATCTTTACAGACGTAGAAAGCGTCGTCACTCTCCCATGGAGAAGCTAGTGGTTTCAAACTGTTACCCTGTGTGAGGGAGTCGGCAGTATTGAAATGAAACCATTGGTGGTTCTACGACTCAGGACACTGGTTTCCGGGACCCTAGTTCCTCTATGAGAGAAAGACAGGTCTGTGTGCTCTCCTAAACAGATACAGCCTCACAAACTCTCTGAGCAGTTCTACCCCATCCTACAGGGTTGCTATGACTGTCACTGACGTGATGACAATGAGTTTGGTTTGCGTTTTGAGTACCTCTGTAGGGTGATGCTACCACGTACTGCCCCCATCTCGGATCATCCAGGCTGCCTCTGAGTCATCTGTTATTGGCACTGATGTGGTGACTACCGGATCCCCATCAAAGCACCCAAAGAGCATAAACTGACAGCGGTGATGAGAATCGTGGTCGAGAGCAACACTTATAAAAAGCTTTCTATGATTAATCACCACAAAACCAGAGGAGACCATGAGATCACCGAGCAAGCCTCCACCCTCTTCCTCTCTGAGATGCTAAAAGCAAGCCAAGAAGAATCACCGGCGGCCCTGACTGGCAGTCTCTCGGGGAAGATGTGGCTGTCCCTGCTCCTACTGGCCTTTCTTCTGGTCCCTGGGGCAAAGACTGGTGAGTGACCACCCCTTCCTCTAAGGCCCCGCCCCCACCCGCAATGAGCCCTGATACCCCGCACCTTCTGCAAATTCCTGATCCAGTCCCACCCTAGCTCCCAGGGGACAACTGCTCACTGTTAGAGAGGGTGAGGAGGGACAGATGGCCACAGGCCCCCAGGACGAGGCTGGAGAAGCTCAAAGCAAGAGGAGTAGAAGAGAACTTTTTTTTTTTTGGTATCTTACTTTATTGAAGGTATTCTTTTTTTATATATATACTTTTATTTGGGAGCTCTTACAAATCTTATGACAATCCATCAATCGATTGTATGAAGCACTCTGGTACATGTGTTGCCATCAACATTTCCAAAACATTTTCTTTCTACTTGAGCCCTTGGTATCAGCTCCTCTTTTTGCCCCCTCCCTCTCCCACCCACTCCCCCTCGTGAATTCTTGTTCGATTACATATTATTGTTGTTATCTGTGTCTTACAAGGTCCGTGGTCTCCCTTCACCCACGGGGTGGGCCATATATCCAACCTTGTGATGGAGCTCTCGACACATGTAATTCAGGACAGATGAAAGTCTTCCGGAACAGTAGTGGGAGGAGCAATATCATGAGGGTAGGGGATGACAGGGATGGCGGAGGGGCGGGAAGAAAGGAAGAATCTATTTTTAAGAAGAGCCAGGGGTACTATTCCTTCCCCAGCCTCTGCAGTTGTCATCTGGAAAATGGGGTTTTCAAAGGCATGCATGGCAACGGGGGAGGAACTGGGAAGGAGAAGAGATTACGTTTCCCTGCAGTGGGTTGAATGAGCCTGGCTTCTGTGTCTTCGATAAGTGCCCACCTCACCCTTCTGCCTGGCAGGGAAGCCCAGCATGCAGGTGACCCTACAGTTGGGGGAGCTATTATCCCCTCAGCATTGTGTGCCTTTGCTAAGCCCCCAAACCCTCAGTCCAGTTCTCTAACTCCTCATTTCTTCTCAGACCTCAGCGTGTTCCCTCATTTCAAGGATGGACCATTGTCTTTTGCTGACCCCAACTTTTTTTGCTTTCCAGAACCCCACTAGGAATCTGGGGCTATGCCTTTATGTAGCCAGTGAACATTTCCTGGGCTGTAAGAAATAGGTTATAACACTAACTAGATACCTAACCATACATCCTCTCCAGTATAAAGCAACACCATCCTGGATATCACAGGATTCCCAAGGGGGCTTTTAGACATTCACTGGAAACTAGGAAAGGTCGTGATGGAAATTTTCTAGAGCTCTGGTCTTTGCTGCCCTTAAGGGAGCTATGCCAGCCTCCAGCTATATGCAAAAGAAAGACGATAGGCCAAAGACTACTTTTCCCTAGGTCAGAGGGAAAAGTTGAGCCCCTCACTTCAGCCAGCCCACCTCAGGCCACCCCACACTCGAAAATGCCCTGCGGTTTGGTACTGAACAAGCAGCCTCCTGCCTGCCGGGGGGGCTCCGTGGTACACATAACAGACCAGACTTCTCCTTCAGGGGAGATCATCGGGGGACATGAGGCTGAGCCACACTCCCGTCCGTACATGGCATTTCTTAAGATCTCTGGCTCAAAGTCCATGAAGTGTGGCGGTTTTCTGATCCGAGATAACTTTGTGCTGACGGCCGCGCACTGTTGGGGACGGTGAGAATCAACAAACAGCCCACGCTCCTCGGGGAACCCCTGCCCCTTTCCAAAGGACCCCTCCTCAAATGGGGCTGGGGAGCTCCCAGAGACTGAGAAGGAGGGCAGCTAATTTTGTGGAGTGGGTAGCAGGTCTGTGTCAGAGGCATTGCTGAAGAAACAGAGCCTAGACGGGCCAGTCTTGTTATATATTTAGAGTTGGGAGCGTGCATTAGGGGTCAAGATAGAAACAACAATCATCTGACATAGTTTCTTGGGAGTAACTGATCCCTGAGAAACACTGATCAGTTACCAACGGCTCCAGCATCCCATCTGGGCCATGAGAAGCAGAGGGCCCACCAGTCCCCAGCATTTCCTATCAACTCTAGTGCCCCCGCTGGCAGCTGCTCTTCCCAGCCTCTGACCTGCAGTTCCTGTGATCTGTGCAGCTCCATCAATGTCACCCTGGGGGCCCATAACCTCAAGGTGCAGGAAAAGACACAGCAGCACATCTCTGTGAGGCGAGCCATCGTCCACCCAGGCTACACCAAGACTTTTCTCCATGACATCATGATACTACAGGTGAGGCATGCATCTCGGCGACTCTCTGCTCCCCTCGATCCAGAGAGTCCTCTGTCCTTCCCACCCTGGCTGTTTGACTAGGGCCTTCTGAAGAGCAGGATTACAGAAGCTCTATCAAGATCTTCAGAACTAGCAGGCAATTTCCGACCGACACCTTCTTATCTCTCCCCATCAGCTCAAGACAAAGGCCCAACGGACAGCAGCTGTCCGCCCACTCAACCTGCCCCGGAAAATGGTGAGGCCCGGGCAGCTGTGCAGTGTGGCTGGCTGGGGCCAAGTCTCCGTGGGCATTCCAACAAGCACACTTCATGAGGCGACACTGACTGTGCAGAAGGACCAGGAGTGTGAGCGCTTATTCCCCAACTACAATAGTACTACTGAGATGTGCGTGGGGGACCGGAGGAAGAAGATGGCTTCCTTTCAGGTGAGATTTGGCAGGTGCCTAAACTGACTCTGAAGAGACTCTGGTGGTGGAGGGGTTACGCAATGGACTGTGGTTCACAAGGTCAGCAGTTCAAACCCACTGCCTGCTCCTTGGGAGAGAAACAAGGCTTTCTACTGCTGGAAAGAGTTATAGCAGTGGTACCTCTTTGATGGTGACATTGCCAGTCACGTTATGGCCCTAATCTTCTAAAGTAGTTAGATAATTAGAAATATAAGAAAAAATGTTCCATTGTAACAAAAATTCTTTGAAATTAAGAAAGCCGTTCCAGTGGGGATTTTTAAAACATTTTTTGAGACTCACCAATTAGCTAGTCTCCAATAGTCCATCACCTCCTGAAATGTTCTTACATCTTTGACTCTTATTTCTACTATGCTCATCCGGGTCTGTTTCTCTATAGCCACTCACTGCCACCAAGTCGATGCTAGCTCATAGCAACCCTGGGGGCAGCGTAGAACTGCCTGTGTGAGTTTCCAGGACTGTGGCTCTCCATGGGGGTAGAAAGTCCCATCTCTCTCCCACGGGGAAGCTGGTGGTTCCCCACTGCTAACCCTGAGGATTGTAGCTCAATGCAGAACCGCTGAAGACCCAGGTCCCTTCTTTTACTAGCAGCTATGTGACGATGATTGCATTTCCTCCCCATCCAGGCTCTTCTCCCTGAAAACAGTGCTCCTTTTGCTTGCTTGTTTGTTTGTTTGTTTGTTTGTTTGTTTGCCATCATAAAATGAAATAATTTTTTGAGCCTGTCCTCGACAACTCTAGTGGATCTTGGAAGATCCCAACATGGGTTATGTGTTGCAATACAAAGCGCAAGGTCAAGAGTTCAAACCCACGAGGCCCTGTTCAGGAGAAAGATGAGGCTTTCCATTTTCATAAAGATTTAAGTCTTGGAAACACAAAGGGGCATTTCTTTCTTTTTTTAATAATCATTTTATTAGGGGCTCATACAACTCATCACAATCCATACATACGTCATTTGTGTCCAGCACATTAGTACATATGTTGACTTCATCATTCTCACAACACCTGCTTTCCACTTGAGCCCCTGGTGTCAGCTCATTTTCTCCCTCCCTCCCCACTCCCCTCTCCCCCTGAACCCTTGATAATTTACAAATTATATTATGTTATCATATCCTACCCCATTCAATATCTCCCTCACCCACTTCTCCACTATCCATCCCCCAGGGAGGAGGCTATATGTAGACCTTGTCATCTGTTCCCCCTTTCTCCCTCACCTTCCCTCCACCCTCCCACTATCGCCACTCTCTCCACTGGTCCTGGGGGGTTCATCTGTCCTGGGTTCACCGTATGTCCAGTTCCTATCTGTGCCAGTGTACATCCTCCGGTCCAGCCGGATATGTAAGGTAGAATTGGGATCATGGTAGTGGGGGGAGGAAGCATTCAAGAACCAGAGGAAAATTGCATATCTCATCATTACTACACTGCACTGTGATTTGCTCCTCTCCTCCCCGCAGCAAAGGGGCATTTCTATTCTATCCTATAGGGTCCCTCAGAGTCAAAATTAACTTGATTGACAGTAGTGGGTTTGTTTGTTTGTTTCTTATTGTTGTTTGTTTTTGTTTTTAGTGTGTACTCAATATTTCCACTGAACATTTTTCAATTCCATACCATTTTCCTTTTTCTTTCTTTTATCCTTCTTTCTTTCCTTTGGGTGGAGGGCGGGGGGGAAAAGTTACAGTCTCGGAAACTCAGCGGGGCAGTCTACCTTATCCTAGAGGGTGACTATGCGTCCGCATGGACTCAATGACAGTGAGTTCGGTAGACGGACTCTGGGGAGAAGAATTTGGTAGGAAGATCCGGGACCTGGAGAGTCAAGCAGTGAGGGGATCCCTTCACCTACTAGGCTGTGACCTCGTCTTCTCAAAGGAAAGCGGGAACAGCCAAGCCAGGAAAGTCACTAGGAAGTCTGCTATCCTACCAACGGCTCCTCTGAAAAAGGTGCTCGTCCCAAAGGAGGACATTTCAACTCCCTGCTCACCCCAGAGGTTCTCGGATTGTGTAAACAGTTGGCATTCAGCTACTCGTCTAAGGCTAAGTGGGTGAAGCCCAGCCAGGGGTTTGCTGCACACACGTTGCTGAGGAAACCCTCCGGAGCAGTCCTGCTCTGTAACATCTGGGATCGCCATGAGCCTAGCTCGATGTGACAGCAACTGTTCTCTGTGTTTGTTTATCGCTTTTTATTCGTTTGTTTGTTTGTTGGGGGTGGGGGGATGTCCCATCAGAGGGCACACATCCTACAAAGAGCTCTCCTTCCATGCCAAGTAGTGAAAATAAGCAGCAACGCATGGACGGCCAGTCACCTTGGTTAAGGGCGTCTGTTCTGGGTTGGGATCAGCCGCACACGCCTTTCTGTTTTCTTAAGCAGTCCCCTGCAGCAAAAGGCCTCACAGCCCCTGACACAGAGAATCCTGGAACTAGGGAGAGAAAAGTAGTCCCCAGCCTGGGGGGAGGTGCAGCAGCAACTATGTCCAGGGTCAGAGCTGGCCTCTTCCCAGAGTGCGGAGCTTCCCCGCAGACTCAGGAGGAGAGCAAGCTAAGTTCTTCCCCTCTCTGTTCACAGGGAGACTCCGGGGGTCCCCTCATGTGCAGCAACGTGGCCCAGGGCATCGTGTCCTATGGATGGAAGGACGGGACTCCTCCACGGGTTTTTACCAAAGTCATAAGTTACCTGCGCTGGATACAGAAAACCATAAAACGTGTCCAACTCCAGGAATCCGATTGAGACCCTAAATTACGACCGACTATCTTTTCTGGGAGGCCAGTGCCATAATAAATGTGTCTAAGCTGAGCGGAAAGAGTTGCTGTGTTACGTATTCATTGACCGTCTATCAAAGGTGCCGACTCCTGGCTAGAAGGGCAAGGACGTAAGTCTGCTCTGGGTCCTGCTTTCCCTCTTCTCCCTACCACGTTCCCAAACCCCCGGCAAAGCGGTTCTCCAGCTTCTTCTGGCCACTCCTTTCCTCCCGGGCCTGCTCTTCTGCCGGCTGAGCCTGAGCCTCTAGAGAGGAAGCACAAGGTGTCTGATGGTGGTCTCCGATGAGATTTTCACCTCCTTCTCCTGCACCACAGAAAGGAAGGGACGCCCGATGGGTTCTGAAAACCAACTAGCTGTATTCTGGGACTCAAGGAAGAGCAAGAACAGAGCACTTCTCCCACCATCAGGAAAGCTGGCAGCTTTGGGAAGGGAGGTCCTTGAGAAACTCCACATTCCCCCCGGGTTTAGTTTCCTTCACTCTCTTGTCTGCCCGGCTCTAAGGCTAGGCCCCAGCCCAAGCCAGTCCAGCCCCTAATCGCCTGGCCATCCTTTCTCACCCAACCTTCATTAACCACTGGGCTTTCTCAGAATTCATCAGTATCTATCCTCTTCAGGCCAGACTTACCTTGTCTCTTGCTCATCTAACCACCTAGGACCCCAGGGCTCTGTCTGAATGCCGGCAGGGCCTTTCCACTGGCCTACTGGCCAGCTCCCACCCCAGAAGAGAAGGGCCTCAAGGCTCAGGCAGGACTCCTGGAGGGCAAGCCTGGAAGAGTCAGTCTCCCAAGCCCTTGGCTCAAACTCTCACCTGGACTGAACCAACTCAACACCCCATCCAACACCACATCTAGCCCAGTCTCTCCCATCAGCTCAGAGTCCAGTTGATCACTCAGTAGCCAGAGTCCCTTTCAGCCTGTCCTTCTAGGTCACTGCTGGCCTCTAGGCTAACAGCCCTGGCTGAGAGCATGGACTGTGTCAACCTTGTGAAGTAGCAAGGGCTCCTCTCTGCAGTTGGACAAGAAAGCACATGTTTCACCAACAATCAACCAACAAAAACACATGGAACGCCTTCTAAGTGCTAGGCATTAGAATGAATGTTACAAGTCTATCATCGACACCAAAAATGAAACTGTATTGAGTGCTTTCATTGAAATTGTCTACTACTCCCCACCACATGAGTCCAAGTGGCCGAGTTCTATGTGGAAAACCCATAGAAATAGAAATATCTGCATTGTATCTTTTATTGCTGGTTACTGTTTACATGAATCATCCCATGTGACTCAAGAACATCTATGGATTAGGAAATTATTGTGGTTTCTATATGTGAAGTTTCCACCCTCTGCACTGACACAGCTTCATCTAGAGGAAAATGCATAAATGTAATTGTACAGGTGCAAACTGTTGAGAAAATCATATTTTCCTGGACTCTGACTCAACATGCCAATCCCCTTTGGTTTGTCAGAAACATACCTCCAGAGGAGGAAAAGAAGTGGTGTTAACCAACCTTATTATCCACAAAACATGCTACAACACTATCGCTAAATGATCTTGAACACGTGTCCATAGTATGAGCACTAAATGACACACAGCTACTAACTGGGAGAAGAAATGGGTCTTTGATTCTGAGATATAATAAAAACCTGGTGTCTTGATTAAGTAAGATGATGACAACAAAAGAAAATGCATAAATCAAAAAACAATAAGTTTTAGGCACGTTGCTTAACCGTATAAGACAAAGCCTGGACTGTCACCTGGGTCCCCTGACCACCAGGCCAGCAAGAGATCTTAAATGTCGCCGTAAGATGAGTCCTGGCATCCCGGATAAGACATGAACTTCTACCCAGACCCCTTCCTCAGGAGAAAGCCGATGGGCTTTTCTAGCAGCCGCTCTATGACAATGATTCAAAACACTCCTGCAGGCAGCTGAAATCTACCACAGCTACATTTAGATGGACTCCAAGGTAACTAAGGGCCTTGCACATGCTGATTCCATCAAATCTCCTGTCTAAGGAAGTATGTCTTTTCCTCTGTTTGAGGCATAAAGGAATTGGTCTACTCACTAAGACTCACTCTTTGTTGCTGTTAGGTACCCTGAAAACACTGCCAGTCCTGCGCCATCCTTAACATTGTTACGTTTGAGCCCATAATGCCAGCTGCTATGTCAATCCAGCTCCCGGAGAATCTTGTTCTTTTTCACTGGTCCTTTACCCCACCAATACAATGTGCTTGTCCATGGACTGGCTTCCTAGGAGCATGTCCAAAGTACGAGAGATGAAGTCTCCTTAACCTGGCTGCTAAGAATTCTGGCCTTACTGCCCCAGGACAGATTTGTTTGTTCTTCGGGAAGTCGATAGTACTTTCAGTATTCTTCACCAACACTGTAATTCAAGTACATCATTACTCATTACTCAGCTTGCATGTGCATAGGAGGCTATTGACAATACTACAGCTTTACACCAATGTCTATTGATCCACTTATGAGGACTTTTGTTTTCTGCGCATTGAATTGCAATTCATACTGAGGGCCATAGTTTGGTCTTCATCAATAAGTGCTTCGAGACTTCTCTTTCAGCAAGCAAAGTTCCATCCACTGCATATCAGAGATGGTCAATGAGTCTTCCTCAAATCCTGACGGCAGTTTTCTTCATCTCACCTAGATTTTTAAAAATCATTTTCTCAGCATATAGATTGAGTAAGTAGTATGAAAGGCTACAACCCTGATTTGAAAGTATGCAGCAGCTCCTAGTTCTTTTCTGCTTCTTGGTCTATAGACAGGTTCCATAGGAGTACGATTAAAGGCTCTAAAACTGCCATTCTTCCCAGTATTTTCCATGGTTTGTTATAATCCACACAGCAGAATGCCTTTGCATGGTCAATAAAACATAAGTGCATATATTTATGGTATTCTCTGCTTTCTGCCAAGATCCATATGATACTAGCAATAAAATCTCTTCTTCCACTTCTTCAGAAACCTTGAACTTCCAGACACTCCCCATCAATGTACTACTGCAATCGCTTTTTTCCTTGGCTTCAGCAAAATTTTACTAGGATGCAATATTTTTATTTTGTTCATTAATTTCTGCATCTTTCTTATCGCCTTTCTTTGGAATGAACCAAATATAGATCTCTTCCATTCGATTGGCACATAGCTCTTTTCCAAATTTCTTGACACACATTTGGTTCATCCAGCATTGCATCAGTTGAACTGCTCAATTGGTATTCCATCAATTACTGGAAACTTATCTTTAGCTAGTGTCTGCAGTGAAGCTTGTATTTCTTCCTTCAATATCCTTGTGTCTTGGCCATATGCCACCTTAAGTGGTTGAATGCCAGCCAAGTCTTTGTAGCCCAGTGACTCAATGTATTCCTTCCATCTTTTTTTTTTACATTTTATTGGCATGTATGTAATGCACATGCCACACAATTCAAAGTTCAATCATGTTGACATTCCCTGCTTTGTTCAATATTTTGCCAATAAAGTTCTTTACTATTCCAACATCTTGAAGCTTGGATTTCTTTTTTTCTTCAGTTCTTTCAGCTTGAGATACTGGACCATGTAATTCCCTTTGGGTTTCTTTCTAACAGCTTTACTTAATCTTCTTGAGCTTCCCTTTAAAGGTTTCTGTTCAACTCTTTCACTTCATCCGTTCTTTTGCTTGCTTTAACCACTCTTTGTTCAAGAGAAAGTTTCAGAGTCTCTTCTGACATCACTTCAGTATTTCCAGCTAGGACCCCACTCACCTCTTTAGCTACTTTTTACTGTATGCCATAAATCCGATAGCATCTTTGCCTTCAGTACGCAGTAATATTTAAAGTAAATTTATGCAACCTATCTTATATTTAATCACATTTTATCATTTGTTCCTCTTTCTTCTTTATCGTTGGGATCATGTATTTGCTCAACTCTTCATGTGTGTGTCTGTGTGTGTGTTTCAGAAGTTCTTGTATTTCAGAGTTATACCTAAGCAGATTTTATACAATTTTGCTCAAATTGTTTCTGAATACCTTTTTTGTTACTCTTGTAACATATTTTCCTTTTTAATGTATTCAAAAAGCTCTTTTTGAATATGTGGAGACTATTTTATTTTGATTTTGAAACAGTTGTAAACTTTTATTTTTGTCAGTACAATACAGGTTTTTACTGGGTTGTTTGAAAGTGGTGTTAATGACATGGTACTTTATCCCTTCCTGAATACTTTAGTGTTTAATTCATAAAAACAAGGACGCTTTCTTACATAGCTACAATATAAACTTCAAACTCAGAAAATTAACAATAGTGCATCGATATCATTACAACCACCCAACTTTCAGAGTAACCAGGCCCCCATGAGCTTTAATATTTTTACTTCTTCAATGAGTCCCCACAGGTCCTTAGATAACAAATTTCCCATCACCAGTATCCTCGTTCCCTTAAACGTGTCCCCGTCACTTTATACCCAGGTTCTGATACCCCTTACCACACAGCATCCCCAAGCTGAGGAGGACTGTCTCCCTCTGTACAATCGGGTCCGCTCTGACAACAGCACCAGACTTGCTCTCTGTGGACGCCCTGCTCACATCGCTTGAGCTCCAACTCCACTCACCAGGCCAACTCTTTGAACGGCCGCATGACCACACTTTGACTTCTACGCACCTCACATGCATTCTGACACCCACGCCAGGCTGCGCAGTGCAGAGTATCAGAGCTTCTGTGGGGTGAGAGGGGTGCCCACCATACAAGAGGAGCTCTGTCATGGACAACGTTCTCATTCTGATCAGGCTCTCTTCTCCGCTCTGGATTCCTATAGCTCCCCATGCTTCCAGGGCCATTGTGGGCAATGTACTTTGGTTATTAAAATAAGATTCTGTTGGTTTTGAAGAGAATTGGGATCAAGATGTTTATAACCAACAATATTTTCCAGTCTACGTGTCTCTTCTCTGTGCGTTAGGCGGATTAGAGTTGGTCGGAGGAGCAGAAATGGCTGACAGGGCTAAGCCTTGGTCGGAGCCTTTGGACAGGTGGAGGTTGAGGGTAGGTTCTACTAGCAG